ATAGGATCAACCAAATAATCTTTCTATCTTTATCTCAAAAGAGCAATACTAATGAAATTGAGATCCTGCAAATATGAATAACTTCACTATACCGGACCAAGTTTCCTCAGATCTTCAGCGTAGTATTCTTCTACGTCATAAATCCGACCTCCGACCTGTACAGTGGGGGCTGGCTCCATTTTGTTCAACACTGGCACAGAGAAGTATTCAGCAAACAATCTAGAGTCTATTGTAGCTGACATCAGAACCACCTAGAAAAAAGGATGACATGTATACATTGGTTTGATATATGGAATTTCTTTGTGCAAAAAAGAGTATTTTTCATTACAATCCAATCAAGGCATTAACATGCAAAATGTCACCACCTGCCATTTGTTACAGATGCTGACCGATGAACGTTGTTACAGATGCTGAACACCAGCCAAAAGTTGGAAACTATAACAATATGTCATCACTTCTGGTGGTGACATACAAATACAATATTCAAATATTATTATATGGGGGAGACATAAATTGAAGACAAGTTCTCTTTCTGATTGACTTGTTAAAAAATAAAGCTTATAATTAACATGAATGTGTCTGTGTCACTTATAAAAAGATGTCAGTACAGATCATTCTTACCTTAACATGTCTAGAGTTACTCCTAAGCAGTTTTCTCACGACCAGCAGACAGAAATCTGAGTCTTCATCTCTCTCGTGGACCTAACATGTAAAACATGGCTACTTCTAAACAATTCCAAACGTGCTAACATACATAGCTATGCTGCATTAACCGATATCTAGTGGAAAGAAATATGTTGAAGTCTCCATTGAATTGACTTCAGATTTATCTATAAGAATTTGGAATTTTCTATAGGAATACAGTGTTAGCGAAACACTTTTCACAGTTCCAAGACCAACTGACGTAAGTGGAACACCTCCCGAGTGGAACACTTTTTAAAGGTACCAAAAGTATTCCACTTTGGAAGGTTTTACTATATCAGTGCACATTTTTTGCCACTAAGTACAACCAATGAGACTGGTCAGGCCTGTTGCCAGGGGGGGGGTTCGCAGGGTTCGGGCGTACCCTCTGGCCAAAAATTCTTTCAAAATCATGCAGTTTTTCACCATTTTGAGCACTTCTAAAGTGAATTTAGCCATATTTGGGCCAAAAATATCAAATGTGAACCCCCCTGGAAATTTCTGAAAAATGAACCCCCCTTAGCAAATCCTGGCTACTGGCCTGCTGGTAATGCATGATCTACCTCATCCATGATGACGTGTGTGTAGTCTAACATGTTCTTCTTGTTGATTAGCTTGTTTAGCAGCACCCCAGTGGTACAATAGAGGATCCTCGTGTCTTCATTGTTCTCTTTCTCCATACCAACCTACACCCAAATTAACAAAAAAAAAATAAACCTATTGTCACATACACCTTCATTTTTTTCCTTTATTTATAACGGTGGTCCTCAGTAATGGTTCATATTTGGTAGTAACAAACTACATGTAAGCCTATATCATATTTCCAATGGTCTTAATAAGATATACTGTAGAACATGTTGTCCTCAAGATTTTTAATTTGACAAGGTATTATTATAATATTTTTTCAAGAAAATGATGTCAGTGTATATATAATATGCATGATGTCAACATGTAATACAGATTCTGGAGGCCGTTTCTCGAAACTTATTGTTATTAACGAATAGTTAATAGCTAATCATGGATTCGTTTTCTATGGACACTGCATCGTTAATGGAATAATGAGACCCCCATTCGTACTCGTAAAATCAATCATGGATATAAATCGATAAAAATCATCACGTCATCGCGAATCGTTAACTTTCGAGAAACAGAAAAAAAATTAACGATTCGTTAATAACGAAACTTTCAAGAAACGGCCTCCTGTATAATAAAGTGTGTAATACAGGATGTTTTTTCATAACAGAGGCCAAAAATCCTCATTTGTGTAATATCTTGTAATTTCATTGGCTCTGAATTTTTATGCTCATGCTTCAAGATCTCAATCGTCAGAATATTCCTCTATTTGACTAAAATCACTGAGAAACTTCTATTACCTGATAACCGCACAAGACAGGCATGTTCCAATCTCGTTCAGAACAAACACGTCTGGCCACACTCATGGCTGCTATTCTTCTAGGCTGAGTCACGACAATGTTACAATATCTGCAGAAAGGATTCATTCACATTGATTAATGGTGAAAATGCAGCATTCTTCACAGGTTTTTTCTCAAAAAGATTCTCATTCTAACAAGTTTGACTGAAACTAGTCAAAACATACATATTTGTCAAGAATCTTTTCATTTCTGATTGGTTGCATAGTAAAATCTGTGTATATTGAACATTTTTTTGCTGAGAAAAAAACATTTAGTGTTGGTAGGCGTTCACTACAGAGAGGGTAATTTATACAGAAGTCAGAAGAGTATGTGTGGAGAAAGGGTGTCCACTAGGGACAAGTGTTCACTAGAGTAAGGTATTCACGAAGACAGGTTTCACTGTAAATGAATTTTCCAATGGGTCCCAGCCTTTTCAAAATCAGAATTTGGGGCATGTCCATTTGCCTCTATACTTAGATATCACCGATACAATATGGGCAATCATGAAAGTAATTATCACAAGGAAAATATGGTACTATGAACTTATATTAGCTCAGGGGGGAAACCATAACAAACCTATGACAGTCATGTATGAGAATTATTATTCAGGCCTCGAATTCATGGTATAATTGGGTTGCGTGGATATCACCTGTGATATTGTAATCATCTGATTTCTTAACATCATAATAATGACACAACAATATCCAATCAGAACAGTGCTTCTGCAGCACCTGCCCATTATCTTAACAATTTTAACATTGTAACTGACCTATTTTCCCTAGCATAGTGATCAAGGATATACTGCGGCACTTGTGTCGTCTTTCCGCTGCCAGTAGAGCCCTCTATCACAGTCACTTGGTTACTTTCAATGGTGGCCACTATCTAAACAAAACAAAGAAAAAGAATCAAAACAAATATAACAAGGCATTACATGCAATATGTCACCACCTGTCATTTGTTACAATCATCGACCATGGAACACCAACTGCCGAATGCCAAACACCAACCACCGAATACCATCCACTAAAAAGTTGGAGACCAGAATAAAATGTCATTAAAAGTAGTGGTGATATAAAGAGTCTATAGATGTAAGTCTTTATGTTGAAATAAAGACCTATACTGGAGAATACATGTAGTCTGAGATGGTCTCTGGTACAGGCATGGTTTGGTTATTTTTAGGCAGACCCTATGACTAGTCATTAAAGACAAGTTGAAAAGTGAATGTATGGTGGATGAATAATATAATATAAATCTGTAGCCTTTATGTGCATAGTCTAGTATAGAATGGTATGATACGCAAGAGGTGAGAAACCTCCAGAGTTCAAAGATGACCATAACTTCAATAGAAATTTATATAGAGATGACCATCATCGTTAAAAAACAAAAACAAAATGGCGGATTCAAATTAAAAAAAAAGCTAAATGAATATTGTAATGTTAATTTCTGTCCGTATTTACCACTTTTTTAACTTGTTATTTCATGTCATGTATTTTCCCTCCTCTTAGTCGGATACTGTATGTTGTAGGAGATACAGTATAATTGATATTGGTGACGTGTTAGTTTAAATTAATTAACATTCCAGAGAGTAAGTACTTTGTATATACACCTGATGGTTCTTATGTTAAGTGAAAGGAAGAAAACTGTAAGTTATGTTTTATGAGCAATTACTTTTAATTAATGAATAAATAAAGCCGACTTCTCTTTGGAGCTCATATTCAGTTACATAAAACTCCTGATTACATATTGCAGTAATAAAGTTTCATTCTACCATTAGCCTTTTAATCTCAATTTCAAAAACTGTTTGTTCAGCATCCTCAAGCTTTTAAGTCAGTAGAGCAAATTAAGAACAATTTTTTGACTTTTTCTCTAACATTTCCATTCTTGGTTTTCCTTACAGAATTAAACAAATACTGGGTTTGTTCGGGTTAACAGTTGCTGTATATTCTGCCGTTACTCAAAAGGCCAATTCAGCAAATCACGCCACTTATTGGTTGTTATGTTGTCATTCTTACAGTTACTGGGCAGAGTAACTTGTTTAAAAAAATTGCTACCTTCAAAATATGCCATTATTTTAGCAAATATTGCATAGTCCACTAAAGGGGAAAAGGATACTACAGGGTGATCTAAAAATGTATATTGGACACTTTGCAAAATAATATAGCTTTGGTACACTAAATACCATCCCATCATCTTAATACCTTTCACATTTTCATCTTTATAATTTTTATATGACCGTAAATATAAAAGCTGAAACCGAAATGAACATAAGTGGTACTTAGTAGTTAAGTGATTTCTAAAATACAAATGTTTATAGATAAATAAAGACCAATAAATTAAATTAAATATTAAAATGTTGTAGATTTAGCTTTCACAATTTTAGTATATAAAGCCATGGTTTCTCAACGTAACTTCACAATTTTGTACGAGTACAAAGGTGAGTGAATACTAATTTTTTTCTGAATTTAAATCTAATCATTAGTAAGGCAATTTATAATTCAGGAATTTTTTATGCCAAGAAGTTTAACTTAAATATTTGGAAATTTAAAAAAATGGTTTGATACTAGAGCATATAAAGCAACTAATTTAGTTTGATTAATTTCCCTTACTTGTTATTACTGTATGTATGTAATTATATCATTTATTTGTTATATGTAATATTGTCATTTTTTAAATAAAGCAACAAGCTTAAAGATATCATTTACAGTATCATTTTTCATTGGACCATGTCAGAATACATTCCATGTATGCATAAATACACTGTATACATGGATACATACTCATAAGAAAAAAATCATGTAAAACATGCATAATATGAACAGACTTAAACAACAAATTAGATGATGGAGAGGGGGTCAACACTTTGGTCTATATATAACTACAGATGGACTGAATTCTACATTAAATTTCAGTTTCATCATCAACAATTACTATGAAGTCTGTGTTCATTGTTTGCCTACTGGCCATAGTGGTCCTCGCCGCAGAGGCAAATCTCGGCAAGAGAATCTTCAAACGCCAGCAAGAGCCAGTAAGTATTAGCTTCTCTACTGGACAGTCACCTTTTTATGCTTGCAATCTTTCAGCAGTACAAACCAGATCATTGACAATACAATGCAGGCTACTTAAGTAGAGAATGAACAACTTTTTCAACAATCTATGATTTTTTTCTCATAAACTAGTAAATATTAAATGAAACACAGAATAACTTTGTATTGCCTGATGGGAGTTTTTTTCTCTTTCAACTTTTCAAACACTTCCTAAAAGTTATCATGACGAAGCTGAAACTACTAGTTTACATATATGATGAAAGCATTTCATCAAGATAATTGTTTTACTAGTTTTCCTTTCTTTATAATTTTAGTATAGAATAGCCAGATGCGAGTTCCAGGAATACATGGGTTGTAAGAAAAGGCTTAGTGATGAATTCTACGAGCACATGCAGCATGGAATGAGATATAGATGGGCTGACATCTGTCCCTATGCAGGTACTGTAAAATTTTCGTTTATCTTTTTCAAGGTGGAATCAGACATATCCGAATAACAAAATGTAAGTAATAAACAAATGTCCCCTTTAACATTTTATATCAAAACAAAGCATTAACATGCAAAATGTAACCACCATTTGTTAGATGCCACCAACCACCGATCACCAACCGCCACCACCCTAAAAATTATCCTGTAACACTGACATAAATGTTATTTAAGTTTGTTATATATGCAGTCAACGATAAATGTCAAGTGAAAATATCCACAAAATTATTGTTTTGCACCAGTAATATAACCAGGTAAATCATTACAAAACCAAACTACCTGAAACAACTCAGAAATTAATACAGCTTAGAGCTTACCCACAAATATAATGAAACAACTGTTGTTATCCACTGATATAAACTTGGTTTTAAATGATGTTAGATTTATTGCACACTTTAAATATATAAATAATATTTTCATTTTATCTGGTTAGTTGATGCTCGTGAAGTGCTGAGGAATGAATCTATCCGTCATGAATGTGATACTGAGGAAATCATGGTTTACTTCGATGAACATGTATCTGCAATTTGTGACCATGTAAGTAAAAAAATAAACCAAAGTTACCAAAGTCATTCTTTGACCAGTCTTTTAATTAGAGCACAAATAAGAAAAATATATAACAATAACAATATACATCTACCAATGTTTGAAATATTCAGTTTGAAAATATCATATATGATATTCACAATTTTTTTGTACATATATATATCAATGGTATAATAATAGACACATTTCTTACAAATTCACATTTCACATATTTTTACTTTTAACATATCTTTATATTTAACTGACCTTAATGAAACTGACTAAATTATGTAGGTCATCCCAGATAAAGTTTGGTATGAAATGGATTGTGATGTAACAGGAGACTTTGACTACAGACCTGCTGAATTTGACGATGCACCCGAGAAGATCTGTGATGACCCAGAGACCATAAAAAGTATGTGGATGTACTTCATTTACATAAACTAAAGATGAGCTTTGTATTATCTAATCTATTTGAAATGAACATTCAGGATGCACATGTTTTACCATTCCATTGTTTGTTGCTGTAGATATTGGATGCAGAGTACTGAAGGAGGCAAAGGACAGAGGATGTAGTAAAGACAGCTTCCCACACATTGGAATGGGACTGGCGATATTCAATCAGGTGTACTGCCAAAGAGGAAACCTAGAACCCGTTGGTGAGTAATTCAACACACGAATCCACACTCTTTACATTAATATATTTGAAATATCTCTTAAGCATCAACTATTTCAGTACTGCTATTTGATGTTAGAATTAATTCTAGTTTTGGTGAATTTTGGGCAAATATGGCAAAATTACCACTTTTTAGTTTTTGTATGATTTGGGAAAAATACAGAACAAATGCGTCATACAAAATTTTGCTGTCTTCAAAACATAGCTATATATACAAGTGACTATTATATGAGCTTTATATTATCATATCTTATGAATGTATCTTGAAAGGTTGCAACAAGTATTTTAACTGTATGAATTTCTTTGCAGATTTGAAGGAAGTGTGCCAGCAAAGTGGTGGCGCCAGTGATGGCTCTGGTGATGGCTCTGGTAACGGTATCTAAGGCAAAGATGAGCTCAATATAGAATCAGAATATATCTGATAAAGTAATTTATGAATGTACTTGACTAATAGTTTACATGAAATAAATTACTGCTAAAAGCATATCATCATGTTTTGTTTTCTAGCAAATGGTTAAAAATACAATCCAAGAATAAAAATGATGTGATTTAAATTCTTTGAGCACTCGTGGTCATTCCTATGCACAAACTCCTTGTGATCATTGTACATAATATATGTAGCTGTAGCTCATTTCCTTGTTCATGATCAAGTTTGCTGCACAAACGTAAATTTTATATTAGGTCTTTAAACAATTATTCCTGAATTTAACAATTATTACTTGAAAATCAGCAACTCCTTGGAGCAGCAAATCCTATTGAACAAAACAAATGCTATTAAATCTCTAGTTATTTGCACATTACATGATGGAAATAGCCAATAAGTAGTAGAGTAGTGCAGTTTTGTCTTTTGTCTCCTTGTGGCAAAACCTACACCCATGATGTGACAAGACACCATAAATTCCTTCTTGAGTATAGTCTTTAGGACCATTAGACATATATATGTATGTACAGATTGGTAACTGGTCAACTCGTACCCAAGACAACTCGTACCCAAGACAACTCGTACCCAAGTATATATTTTGTTTTGAATCAAGCATTGGACTGGGAATGTGAATAGATATACAGGGTGATCCAGAAGTAACGTCAAAGACATTGTAATTTCAAAAGTATTCATCAGATCTTCATGAAATTTGGTATACATGTACCCACAACATTTCTGAGTTACCATCTCAAAGATTGGAATTCAATCATTTCATTGGTTGAAATTATGGTTGCTATAGTAACCCGATATCGCGTAACCCGGGGCAAATTGAAGAGAAACCATAACGTTTTTGTGAATTTCTCTAATTTAAAAAGTCAGTAACATTTGAAAATGTTCATTGTTTGTTTTCTATGATTTTTATGTCACCACCAAAAGTGGTGACATATTGTTATGGTCTCCGTTTTTTTGCGACGGCGTCCGGCGGTTGGAGGTTGGCGGTTGGCGTCCGGCGGTTGGCGTCCGGCGTCTGTAACAATTTCTTACAACTTCCTATAACTTAACAAATACTGTTTAGACTGACTTCAATTTTTTTCTAAATCATCTACATGTTCTCAGAAGTTCAAATCTGACTTTAGATTTGACATTTGACCTTCAATGCGCTTCTCAAGGTCAAAAAGGTCTTTTTTCAACTTGCTTCACATTGACAAAATTTTTTTTCAAAATCATCTACATGTTCTCAGAAATTCAAATCTGACTTTAGATTTGACTTTAGATTTGACATTTGACCTTCAAATCTGACTTTAGATTTGACATTTGACCTTCAATGACCTTCTCAAGGTCAAAAAAGGTCAAAAAGGTCTGTTTTCAACTTGCTTCAAATTGACTAAATTTTTTTTTCAAAATCATCTACATGTTCTCAGAAATTCAAATCTGACTTTAGATTTGACATTTGACCTTCAATGACCTTCTCAATGTCAAAAAAGGTCAAAAAGGTATTTTTTCATCTTGCTTCAAATTGACTAAATTTTTTTTTCAAAATCATCTACATGTTCTCAGAAATTCAAATATGACTTTAGATTTGACATTTGACCTTCAATGACCTTCTCAAGGTCAAAAAAAGTCAAAAAGGTCTTTTTTCAACTTGCTTCAAATTGACTAATTCTTTTTTTCAAAATCATCTACATGTTCTCAGAAATTCAAATCTGACTTTAGATTTGACATTTGACCTTTAATGACCTTCTCAAGGTCAAAAAAGGTCAAAAAGGTCTGTTTTCAACTTGCTTCAAATTGACTAAATTTTTTTTCAAAATCATCTACGTGTTCTCAGAAATTCAAATCTGACTTAAGATTTGACTTAAAATTTGACATTTGACCTTCAATGACCTTCTCAAGGTCAAAAAAGGTCTGTTTTCAACTTGCTTCAAATTGACTAAAAAAATTTTCAAAATCATCTACGTGTTCTCAGGAATTCAAATCTGACTTTAGATTTGACTTAAGATTTGACATTTGACCTTCAATGACCTTCTCAAAGTCAAAAAAGGTCAAAAAGGTCTTTTTTCAACTTGCTTCAAATTGACTAAAAAATTTTTTCAAAATCATCTACGTGTTCTCAGGAATTCAAATCTGACTTTAGATTTGACATTTGACCTTCAATGACCTTCTCAATGTCAAAAAAGGTCAAAAAGGTATTTTTTCATCTTGCTTCAAATTGACTAAAATTTTTTTCAAAATCATCTACATGTTCTCAGAAATTCAAATATGACTTTAGATTTGACATTTGACCTTCAATGACCTTCTCAAGGTCAAAAAAGGTCAAAAAGGTCAAAAAGGTCTTTTTTCAACTTGCTTCAAATTGACTAATTTTTTTTCAAAATCATCTACATGTTCTCAGAACTTCAAATCTGACTTTAGATTTGACATTTGACCTTTAATGACCTTCTCAAGGTAAAAAAGGTCAAAAAGGTCTGTTTTCAACTTGCTTCAAATTGACCAAATTTTTTTTTCAAAATCATCTACATCTTTTCAGAAGTTCAAATTTGACTTTAGATTTGACCTTTGACCTTCAATGACCTTCTCAAGGTCAAAAAGATCTTTTTTCAACTTGCTTCAAATTGACTAATTTTTTTTCAAAATCATCTACATGTTCTCAGAAGTTCAAATCTGACTTTACATTTGACCTTCAATGACCTTCTCAATGTCAAAAAAAGTCAAAGAGGTATTTTTTCAACTTGCTTCAAATTGACGAATTTTTTTTTCAAAATCATCTACATGTTCTAAGAAGTTCAAATCAAACCTTCTTAAGGTCAAAAGGTATTTTCCAACTTGCTTTAAATTGACCAAATTGTTTTAGGTGGTGACATTTTGTCATGTTAATGCCTTGTTATATTTGTTGCCATGGTAACAAATATGTAATAGTTGTGATGTCACAATAGGCATTCATAAAAAGCTTTCAATTTCTTTGAATTGCTTCCATCATCCATGACAAATACTAACATGACCAAGGACACTAACCCACCCAATTCAAGATGGCGCCAAGTCAGAGAAAAATAGAGCAAAGAACAAACATTAAGTTCTGTGTAAAGTTGGGGAAAGGTGTAAAAGAGACTATAAGACAGATAAAGAAGGCATATGGTAAAGCTGCCATTGCTGAGAGAAACATTTACAGGTGGTTTAACAAGTATTCCAGTGGATATGATGAAGTGGTAGACAAGCAGCGAGGAGGCAGGCCAGTGTCGTCATTCGATGATCAAACCATCAAAGCAATTGAAGCTGATGTTATGGACAATAGGCAAATTTCTATCAGAGAATTGGCTGAAAAACACGATCTGAGCTATGGGACTGTGCAACGGATACTGACAAAGAACTGTCTGTTAAAGAAGGTGTCTGCTAAATGGGTGCCGCATGACTTGACACAGGAGCAGAAAGACCGGCGTGTTAAGGCTTCAAGGGACTTTCTTGCAAAATATCGGAGAGATGGAGATGACTTTCTTAACAAGATCATTACGAGTGACGAATCATTGCTATCATTCTACATCCCAGAGACCACGCAACAAAGTTCATCGTGGAAACATGACAACTCCCCAACACCAACCAAGCCTAAAATAGTACCAGGAATTCCACAAAAGAAACAAATGGTTGTGACATTCTTTGACATTAGAGGAATGGTGTTAACCCATTTTGTTCCCATTGGCCAGAGAATTAATGCCGTTTATATTGCAAAGGTAAGATATCATTTGTTCTAATAATACATCATACTGTGAATTTTATTTTTAAATTAAAGTATTTAAATGTTGTTCACTGTCAATATAATTATAACTCCATGGCCATGATTCAAATCCAAATCCAATCAATGAAACAACTGGTTTAACAACCATTAAACATTTGTTTTTCAGGTTCTGAAGCGTGATCTTCAACGTTCCCTGAGGAAAAAGCGTCCCGGACATCTGCAGCAGTTTATCTTGCATTGGGACAATGCCCCTACGCACACTGCAATCCTGACCAGCAACACAGTCACTTGGATTTCAACAACTTGAACATGCCCCTTATTCACCTGATCTTGCCCCCAGTGACTTTTATTTGTATGGGGAACTAAAAAGAAACCTTAGTGGAAATAATTTTCAATCCTGTGAGGAATTGAAAAATGCCGTAGTACTAGCCCTACAAGGAATGAGTTCTAATGGATTTAATTCTGTGTTCAAGGAATGGGTATCCAGACATGAGAAATGTGTTGCAAATGGTGGCAATTATGTAGAATGAACTATTATTAGTAACTGTGCAATAGTATGATTTATATTGTTGTGAAATAAAATGTTGAGGATATAACAATTTCAGATCTTGTTGATATTTTGAGATTACGCATTACACGTTAAGTAATTTGCCCCGGGTTACGCGATATCGGGTTACTATAGCAACCATAATTTCAACCAATGAAATGATTGAATTCCAATCTTTGAGATGGTAACTCAGAAATGTTGTGGGTACATGTATACCAAATTTCATGAAGATCTGATGAATACTTTTAAAATTACAACATCTTTGACGTTACTTCTGGATCACCCTGTACATATTATAATTGTAACATACTGTTCAGAATAGTTTAAAATTTGAAGAAGAATTTTCGGAAGAAATTGATTTAATTTTATGACATTTTGAGCTGAGTGTCAATTTATATTGACTATTATTTTATATTGGTCACAGATTCAGGATGTTCAAGTGAAGAGACATATGTTTATAATCATTTTTCAAAATATTGTATGTTTATGAGTGTTTGGAACAAGTGTTAGATCTAACGATCTATATATATGTTTGACAAAAAAATTTTGAGAACAAGCGCTTCAAGCACTTCTTTTATTTAATAAAAAAAATGCTTTACTGATCCATTGAGAAAAAATGTCGTCTAAATTCAAAAATATATTGAGGCTTATTTGATTCACCTTATAACATGAAAGCATTACAAACTCAATTTCTTCCCTAATATGCACCCACAATACTGAAAATAAGCTTGGGTACGAGTTGTCTTGGGTACGAGTTGTCTTGGGTACGAGTTGTCTTGGGTACGAGTTGACTAGGAAGCTACAGATTAGGCCATTCAAAATTAATTTTATGTTGGCATTCTGATGAAAGGCCTTATATTAAAAACTACAAAACCTTTATTTATTTAAAGGGTTTTATACAGTGTATATTATTTAATAGTGAAAATGCAACAACGCTTAGTGGAAAAGCAAGTAACATCTCTTGATTCAGATGACCTTGTGAATGAAGACAATACTAAAGCTTATAAACATGTAGTATTTAATCAATCTTGGAACTCATTTCAATACATTATAATTCATGATCACAATTCCCTCTGTCATTTATATGCATTACAAGTACATGGGAACATTTTGTTTTTTTCTGAAAACATAGAATTTAGTGACATTAATTATAATTTTTTTTGAATGGCCTAAGTGTTTTTCTAAATAGGGAATAAGTAGAAATTATTTTAGGCAATCTTTTGAGTGTCATGCCATTTATACATGATGCTGCCTTATATTTTATGATATATATTGAAATTCAAATATGGGAACTGCAAATTGGCAAATAACTTTAAAACTAAGTCTCCATACAGACATTTAATTTCAAATTCCAATGTAGATGCCAATGGGCGTTTAAAATAATAATCACATCCCAATTCTTAAAACATGCTTCTATTAGGATACTGTTAGAGTCCCAAAAGGCAACAAGAACATTCATTTTAGAAACAGGAAAATTTAGTCCCCCCAAAAATGCCTATAAGGGGATTTATTCTCAAGATTTTCATGTAATTGCTCGTGAGAATTTATTAAAAATATTTTTATTTCCATTCACATGTCTTATTATCAATCAAAATCAAAATTAAGCCAATTGCTTTCATTTCTTGTATTAGAAAACGGCAAAATTTTGACAAAAATAGCATCTTTCAAAGTTGACCTTTAAACCACCCTAATGTCAAGGTCAAATGCACCCTTGGTATACGCAGCTAACGAAAATTGACCGGTACGGGTCAAAAGCTGGACCGGTACGGGTTAACGGTTTTATTTGAATTTAAAACAGCCATAACTTGCTCAATATTGACTTCCTCGTGTCTAATTTGAAATATATGATGCCTCCCGATGCTTTTAAGTACCCTAATTTTTTACAGATTTTTAAACGGACCAAAACTCTCTAAATGCGCATTTATGCTCTTTTCTCTCGAGAACGACTGTCTCATTTTCACGATAACTTTTATTTAGTACTTCTAACATAGAAGATCTATTTTTCCCCATCAAGGTATGATGTAAATGACATGCTATTTACATCTTGTGAGTTTCAATGACGCGCGTTTGATTTTATAAAAAATGCCAAACTTTGTGACAAAGAATATCCTCAGTGCTTGCAGCGAGAAGACGAACCGGTTCGGGGCAATCTGCTTGCAACGAGAAGACGGACCGGTTCGGGGCAATAGCTGATGAAATTCTTTGTCACAAAGTTTGGCATTTTTTATAAAATCAAACGCGCGTCATTGAAACTCACAAGATGTAAATAGCATGTCATTTACATCATACCTTGATGGAGAAAAATAGATCTTATAGTACTAAATAAAAGTTATCGTGAAAATGAGACAGTCGTTCTCGAGAGAAAAGAGCATAAATGCGCATTTAGAGAGTTTTGGTCCGTTTAAAAATCTGTAAAAAATTGGGGTACTTAAAAGCATCGGGAGGCATCATATATTTCAAATTAGCTTTTGACCCGTACCGGTCAATTTTCGTTAGCTGCGTATACCAAGGGTGAAATGTCTAAATTCTCAGAAATCACATTTTAAGTAATAAGTCATATGTCCTCTTCAATTCCATGTCAATATATACTTGTTTTGTAGGGGGGGGGCTAAAAGAGGGGTTTACCACCACCTGTCATTTACACCAAACAGGAAATGAAAAAAATGTGGATTTTAGAATTTTTTGAAGTAAGATAGCAGGGTATATGACCATATATGGTCATATATCATTTACATTTACATTTAAATGACCAGGATCACAATGGTTATGGTCAAAATGACCCTTACCATGCTGAAATAGCTTTTTCAGCCTTCTGAAAATGTGACTGAAAAAGTTAAAAGTTAGCGTTTCAGAAAACTCATAATCTTTTTTGAAGAAAATCTGAATTGTGCAATGATTTTCTTATTGAAAGCAATATCAAATTAAATTCAGAAATAACCCATCATTCAATCTTTCTAATTTTCACATACATGTTTAACATTGACTCAATATGTGGCTTTAATTGAAATGTCCAGACAGTTGATTAATGATAAAAATGTTCAGATCAGACAGGTCACTTTTTCAAATCTGGTTGTTCACTGTTCAAATTAGGAGGTGTTCAGATTTCAAGGTTTTTTTAACATGGGAGTCAATGGGATGAAAAAATGGGACCGAAAAAAAGTGTTCAAATTGGAAGGTGTTCGGATTAGCCAGGTGTTCAGATATACAGGTTCTACTGTATATTGTTATACATCAGTAAATCTTTCACCTAGTTTTTTTCAAGGAAATCTGAATTGTAGAAAAAAAGTAGGTCAACACTGAAGTTCCACCTTAAAAATAGAGAATCCTTTGAAATGTTTTCAGTTGGTAACATATTTTTTTATACTTGTGAAGCAAAGTAAACATGCCATTTGTACAAAAATGGATTAGGTGAAATTATAAAAATAAAAATGTACAGTGTATTTACATAATGCCAGGGAGCAATTAACTTAAAGGCAAAAGTTGATCTTAATCATTAAAAATTAAAAAAATTAAAAAACACTTTTATGAGAAAATACAAGTAAAGCTGACATTAACATTAAGTTTTTATTCTATCAAACAAAGGGAAAAATTATATTGTGCTTTGGCAAAAGTCAAATTCTTTCTTTAGTTTTTTACATTTATTATAAATAAAAAGTAACTTTCTTCAGCAATCTCCAGTATTTTTCAAATTGAGTGGCGCATATCAAAAAGATTTTGATAGAATCTCTCTGCAAAAGCAACAATGTCCCCTTCTCTATATTGCATAATCAACCTGATATGTTGCTAAATTTGGCTAGACATGTTTTCACTAAAATCATTGTAGCTGGCTGTTTCATGAAAAGGGCCTTTCCAACCATAACCAGTCACAATGATCAAATGATATATTTCGGACAAGCATTGTGAACCTGCCCTTAAGATGCTCAGAGGTATGGTCATTCAATAAAGGTTCTTGTTCATGTGATTATTCAATTTTCTTGTCAGCTTTCTTGACATGAGAAACCACAACAAATCATCAGTTTTCAAATCCTGTGATTAATTTTACAGATCATACACTTCATCATACCCATATTAAACACTATACTATACGATGCCAATATAGCAGTTTCTCAAAGTGCGACGAAAATATAAATGATAAATGAATGAAGAGTGATGCAGTCAAAGTGTCCTGGATCACAATAACATATGATCTTTGTTGACCAGGGGTTTATTTCTTGAAAGTTTGTAAAGTTGCGAATTAGTAAGTCCATTTGTTGTTTGTTTTTAACTTGCATTTCTCGAAATTTAGTAACTTTGCGAAATTAGTAACTTTTTTTCGCAAAGTTATAAATAAACACCTCATTTGCGATTTTATTTTAAGTTTATGTACATCTTTGGAGGTCTTGTAAGTCTTTCGCAAATCTTACTTCACTTACATGTATTTACGTTCGTTTTTAAAGTAATTATATATCATAGATAGTTGAAGTATATAAGAAATTCATTTTGGTCTGATATCAATTTAAATTTCAATATATTATCAGTGCTTCACCGTTGATAACATTACGAACTATATTCACTCACATGCTTAGATGTCCTTGCATAATAGTACAATAACGTCTTTTCGAAGGGCAATATAGTGAAATATTGGACCGAGGGCTGAAGGCCCAACCGCAGAAATGACGTTATTAGTATTATTACCACCGTTAATGACCGGGACTGAAACAGCAAGAAAATGTTACGCACTGAACGATATCTAATTTCCCGGGGAAAATTGCTGGTCATTAAATGCATTCTTGACCGGCAATATGGACCATCACTATGACGTCACATATTGCTCAGGTTGATAAAGTAAAATGGATGCCTTCTAAACTAGCACTTAAACCCCTAGAACTGGCCTGGCAATGTGGTAATAATACTTATAGTTTAACACCACACCCCTACAATGGAATATGGGAACTAGAATCATGACATCATACAGTTTATCATTCATAACCTTCTGAAAAAGATATAAGTTTTCGAGAAACGCAATTTGCGATTTTGTAGCTTTTTTGTAGCTTTGAAACTTACTAAATTTTGGAGAAATATACCCATGGCCTTTTGGTACAAGAGACACCTGCAATGAAGACTTATTTTGCAACATACTTCTGCAGCTATGCAAACATGTCATTGACACTTAGCTATTAAGTGCTTTCCAAATTATGTAGGTTCTCAAAACATCTTGCAAATGAATAAATTAAATATTAAAATCTTGTAGATTTAGCTTGGATGATTTAGTATATAAAGTCATGTATATACCTTTTTGATATTACTTCACTTTTTACACATAAGTACAAAGGTAAGAGAGCATTCTTAATTTTTCAATCTCATTAGAAAGGAAAGAAAAAGAATTAATTTTATATTATTATTTTTGACAAACACTTATGAATTATGAAATATAGAAAGAAGTAGAGAGCAACCTCAAAAATTTAGAATTAATTGAAAATGCTACTTGACATTATAAATTGAATATTAATAATGTCTAAAACAAAACAAGGGAACAAAAATAAAATTAAACAATCGTTACAGATAACAATAATAGCTTTTTCCACAATCTTGAAAAATTATATAAATACTACAGAAACTAAACTAATATTCTATTCTGAATCTTAATTTTCCTTAAATGGCATGACAACGTCAACAACAATTAAGACTGATCCCACATTCTGTTTTAGTTTCAAAATCATCAACAACAATGCAGTCTGTGTTCATTGTGTGCCTTTTGGCCACATGTGCCCTTGCTGCACCACACGCTAAGGGAAAACTGACCAAGAACATCTTTAAACGTTACTCACCAGTAAGTGTATTTTATTCACTTCTATTAAAAAATTATAGGGTGATCCAAAAAAGAATTATATTTTGAACTGCAAGGCAGTACTTTGCTCCAATCATATTTTGTGAAATAACTTTTTTCAATCCAGTTGCTGTGGAATAAATAAAGCAAACATCTAAAAAACTTAAAACTGGTATCTGTTACTTTGATTCATATTCATGAGATTTTGATGGCCATTACCCTTGCACGCAGTTTATTTTGATACCCCGGCATATATTTTAGGAATTATTTTTGTTGTTAAGACATTCTGTCAGTGTTGTTTTTGATAAGTATAACATTCCATTTTCCATGGAAATAAGATCAAAATAAGAATTTAAGAATTGAAACCGAATTTTAAAAATGCCATCTTGATGTATAATGGGCAAATAAATGTGTTTCAAAATCATTTAAGGTAGAACAGATGGAAATGAGTAGGGAAGATTTCAAGAATTTTCTAGGCTGTACCGGCAGTTGTCTCAGTGATGAATTCTATGGCCTTCTCAAGGACGTTACATATGATAAAAGATGGGCTGATATCTGCCCAAATCTAGGTAACAATTTATTAAACAATTATTTAATGATTAAAGACCGAGATTCTATGATTTATGGTGCAATATATGACTGAAGAGTTTTCTATTCATTTTTTAAAGACTGAAATCGCAGAGCGATTGAGGTCTTTGGCAATGTGTGGAATAAAATCGAAGGTAGTATATTTGCCTTAAATCATAGAATTAAGGTCTTCGTACCTCTGATGATAACAAGAAATACAACTATTTGCATTTATGAAATTTAGTGGTCATACATATCCCTTTATAGGTCCAGGCCCGTAGCCAGGATTTGACAAGGGGGTGGGGGTTCACTTTTTAAAAAATTCCAGGAAGGGTTCACTTTTGACAACTTTGGCCCAAAGACGGCCAAAGGCCAAAATCACTTGAAAAGTGCTCGGAATGGTGATTTCAAAAACAGTTTTAACCAGAGGGGCAAGGTTCCCCCAACCCTCCCTGGTTACGGGCCTGACACCAGTAAATCAATTGTTCAAGTTATTGTGATGGCATATATTATATTAGAATAGACGGTAAGCTATTTTGATAAATTATAGTAAAGATTTCAATGATATCTTCAGTCCAACAACCTAATTTGACAACAATTTGAGTTTTTTTACTTCCTTACATGTTTTTTAATCTATTTTTGTGAAACAGATCGTGTCACTAATAGACTAAGGGATTTTTCTGACAAACATCATTGTCGAACTGGTGAAGTGATGAATTTATTCAACCAACATTCATCGTTGATATGCAATCATGTAAGCAAGTTTTTCTATATCTTTCAATTGTATATGACTCAAACTTACAACTGTTCTTTAAAGGCAGAATCTGATCTATAGGGGGTGACAAAATTACAAGCGACATGTATGATTGACCTATCAATCTATTCATTACCATCTCAATTACAATATCTCCCAAAAGATTCACAATATGTTATAAATTGGTGAAGTTACTAATGATTCAAAGTGCAAAAATGGGTGAAAAATGGTTTAATACTCCCAAATAATAAGAATGGTAACCATTCTTATAGAAAAATAATACACTATTGTAAAAATCTTTAGTTTTCTAATCAAGTACTAATCAAGTATGTTTCTTCATAGACTTCTGTTTATATGATATAAACACCTCAATTTCATTAGTATCACGTTTTAGATATGCCAATGTTAACCCTATTCATCATAACAGTTCTATATAGGAACTATATGCAACTGAAAGATTTGTTTATAATTTAAGGCCGTACCTGACAACTTGTGGCAGGAAATGGGCTGTCTTAAGGGGGGTGACTTCCACTACATACCCGAAAAGTTAAGAGACAACCCTGCAAGTATCTGTGATGATATTATGACAGTTTTGGGTATGTATATAAAGATCAGCATTTATAATTTAAAGGACATTAGGGTTATACCTTCCCTGACCCGTGTGAAATATTTGAATCAGATTTTGAAAATAATTGTCACATACCGCACTCATTACCCCAACATTTGAATTCTGATTCCTTCTTTTACTCAGACATAAGGCAAACATGAGGTTTGAGCAAAATAGGTTCAATTCTTATACCTAATACAAGAACAGATCTACTCTTATACCTGGAATGAGAACAGATCTACTCTTATACCTGATATAAGAACAGATCTACTTCTATACCTGGAATAAGAACAGATCTACTCTTATACCTGACATAAGAACATATATACTCTTATGCCCAGCATAAGAATAGAACCTACTTCTGATAATGCCTAGCATAAGAATAGAACCTATTTCTGATAATGCCTAGCATAAGAATAGAACCTATTTCTGATAATGCCTAGCATAAGAATAGAACCTATTTCTGATAATGCCTAGCATAAGAATAGAACCTATTTCTGATAATGCTCAGATAATGCCTAGCATAAGAATAGAACCTATTTCTGATAATGCCTAGCATAAGAATAGAACCTATTTCTGATAATGCCTAGCATAAGAATAGAACCTATTTCTGATAATGCCTAGCATAAGAATAGAACCTATTTCTGATAATGCCTAGCATAAGAATAGAACCTATTTCTGATAATGCCCAGCATAAGAATAGAACCTATTTCTGAAAATGCCCAGCATAAGAATAGAACCTATTTCTGAAAATGCCCAGCATAAGAATAGAACCTATTTCTGAAAATGCCCAGCATAAGAATAGAACCTATTTCTGAAAATGCCCAGCATAAGAATAGAACCCACTTCTGATAATGCCTAGCATAAGAATCAAACCTATTTCTGATAATGCCCAGCATAAGAATTGAAGCAATTTTGCTCAAACCTCATGTTTGCTGATGTCCAAATAAAACCAGGAATCCGAGTTTAAATATCGGGGTCTTACTCATGAATTTTTATGACCTTTTTAGTATCAGATGTAACTGGTATAAAACATATTTCTATAGAAATTTTCCATCAACTTATGAATCTTCCCTTACTGTTTAATCAAAAAAACAATCATTCTTACATACATTCAAACTCCTGTAAAAAGCCATGAAAGTTGCATTTGAGATTTTTATGATCTTACCAGTATCCTAACCATTCAATCATCCGTGACAAAAAGTAACCAATAGGGAGTCAAGGGAGGAATGAAATTTTTTTTGATGTTGTAGATATTGGTTGCACTGTGTTGGGTGAGGCAGTGAAAAGACAGTGTAACCCTGGCAGCTTCCCCCATATTGAACAGGGAGTGGCCATATTCAGGCAGACGTACTGCCACCAAGGACGTTTTGAACATTTTGGTGAGTATTATCACATGGTTAGATATGCATTGTAACTTTTGACCAATTAAAACACAGGCTGACTCTGGGTAAATGCTCAACTGCATACAATGAAGCTCATGCATGGTCTCACAGATTAAGCATGGGCCTAAATCCTTAAAGTACAATCGTCAATATATCAATGACTTAATACCGTTCATTTGGGAAAAACGTTGATATATCAATCTTGAAAATATAGTAAAGAGAATTTGACAATGAATATTAACCGAATAAGTAAATAAATATGTAATATTCCTCTAATTTTGAAGTATACATATCACTGCTAAATTAGATACTACTGTAATCTAGGCATACATCCACTTTATTCACAGCATCTTATTTGTAAGAAAGTACACTTGGGAAAGTACACTCTTCTACATTATTATGCATTTCTTTGTAGAATTACCATGCATGCCAAGATGTGAACGGCCACAACCTGAAACATACTACCCTAGCAGCTACGGTAGCTATATGCCTGACAGTTCATACTATAGCAGCAGCTATGACAGTTCATTCTATAGCAGCAGCTATGACAGTTCATTCTATAGCAGCAGCTATGACAGCTCAATCTATAGCAGCAGCTATGACAGCTCAATCTATAGCAGCAGCTATGATAGTTCATTCTATAGCAGCAGCTATGATAGTTCATTCTATAGCAGCAGCTATGACAGTTCATTCTATAGCAGCAGCTATGACAGTTCATTCTATAGCAGCAGCTATGACAGTTCATTCTATAGCAGCAGCTATGATAGTTCATTCTATAGCAGCAGCTATGATAGTTCATTCTATAGCAGCAGCTATGACAGTTCATTCTATAGCAGCAGCTATGACAGTTCATTCTATAGCAGCAGCTATGACAGCTCAATCTATAGCAGCAGCTATGACAGTTCATTCTATAGCAGCAGCTATGACAACTCAATCTATAGCAGCAGCTATGACAGCTCAATCTATAGCAGCAGCTATGACAGCTCAATCTATAGTAGCAGCTATGACAGTTCATTCTATAGTAGCAGCTATGACAGCTCAATCTATAGCAGCAGCTATGACAGCTCAATCTATAGCAGCAGCTATGACAGCTCAATCTATAGCAGCAGCTATGACAGCTCAATCTATAGCAGCAGCTATGACAGCTCAATCTATAGCAGCAGCTATGACAGTTCAAACGATAGCAGCAGCTCCTCATTTTAAAACAGCAACTACATGATTGACAGTACGTACTACAGCAGCCTTTGACCAAATAATGTAATTTATCTGTCAAGTGATCTGCATAATAAAAAAAATTACTATGAACAGTATTCTTAAATGTTTTGTTCTTAACTTTTATGATTTTGAAATATTCAAAGATGATTTAAAAAATTGTAGCAATGATCCACTTCTTAAAAAAACAGCAATTTGCTCATTTTTGCTAATTGTACATATCAAAAGGACACACTATATGTCTCCACCTTTGGGAAATCATGTCTAAATCAAGAACATACCCAAATTGAAGGGAATACTAGTTGGTTTTGATCGGTCTAAGATGACAATATCGAGAAAAATATTCAAGATGCCTAACATTCTTCAACTTACTAGAAAAATACAAAATAGGCAAATTTTCTGTTCAGTTCCTTAAGGAACACAAACAGTTCAATATGGTACACATTGAACACTATTGGATAGAGTACAGAGTATTTTATGTAACACATTTCTGAAATCCAAGCAGCCTTTTTCTCAAACTGAACATTCAGAATGGTGATCATAATTCAAGATGGCCCGATATAAAGTTAATCAGCTCTAACATAGATCTGCATGTATATTATATAGATTATCTAAAACTGCTGAAAAATCTCTTGATTGGTCTTTCCAAAAGTGCAGACAAGAAAAAGAAGAAATCCAACATGGCTCATAATTTGATCTCTAATAATTGAACAAGCATCTAGTTTACTTAAGGATTTAAGCAGTGGACTCAGGACTGAATCATTCCAGTGCGTGAAATAAGGATTTTTTTAACCTAGACATTTTGGCAGGCCAGCCAGATTTTAACCAGCCATATCATTTTTTCTCAGGCCAATTTTTTGCAGCCTATTTCTTACTTCTCTGGCCAAAAATTTCATTTTCCATATTTCTCCACAACCACTCTAAAATGAGATTTAGTTTAGTACAATATTAACAAAGTAAAACTAATTCCATTGCATGTCATGTATCATTCACTACTTGATGACTTAACCAACAGCCTGGGTGTGTTGATTCCCCCCTAGATTCACCTTACAAAAACATGAGGAACATGTACATATTGATCAAACTAAATTGTACTGATTTTGGTCGGTTTAGAATTGCTCTCAGAAGCTTCAAGGTATTCAAAAACACATACTATGTACACAGACTCCACTAACAGACTAAAATTCAAGGTATATATTAGAGGTGTCACGGTCCAAATAAATTTCGGTACGGTACGGAACGGTACAAATGGTCTCGGGACACGATACTTTCGAGACAGGACGGGACAGAACATTAAAAATGATACAATGTTTGATGATGACAGTTTCACTTTCAGTTTCACTTTTCAAAATCATATTCAGAAATACGTCAATTAAAATCGAATATAAAGCATCTGCCGTGAATGTGATCGGCATTTCACATAGTCTGCATGGTGAACTATCACCAATTCGTTTACCTTGTGATATCGGAGTCCCAAAATACTTCCAAACTGCCGACTTTTTGGACTTAGATGCCGGCTCGATTTTTCAATTTCTTTTCTACATCCGGCATACTGACAATGCACTAGATTTGCGAACGACGATGAAGAAATGAGTCATCCATAGCCAATCAAAATCACCGTAATTTCAACAAACAACAACAGCCAATCAAGAGTCACGTTATATCTTGGGCTTCAGTATGAAAACAAAAATATTTGAAATTTTTTTAAATCTTCAACAAAAGTCATGGAATAAGCCGAAATCGCGGGGAATTCGGAGGATTTCCGGACTGAAATGTGGGTTCTATTCATGGGCAATCTAACAAATGCCACAAATGTCTGGCAGGCCAAAATGTCTGGGTGTTTTTATCAAAACAAGCCATCTATAATTTTGTCAGGCCAATGGCCGATGTCGGACGTCTATTTCGTGCATTCCCTTAAATGTATTGTCTTCAAAACTTTGCATGACCACATAGCGGGAATGCAAAGTATAGGAAACGATGCCTGAGTGGAATGAATCAGCCACAATGCATATGTATTGGGCCATGGGCTTTAATTGTTTTCACACATTGCAAATATTTCCTACGAAATCATCTGATACGAAATCACTACAAGAACATATTTTCAATGTTATTTTTAGCAAGGGTCAGGTTGGCAAAGCATCAATTTCAATCTGTTAAGTCAAGTTGTCGCCTTGACAACCATTCAATGAATGACCAGTAGGTGCAGTGATTGGTTATATAATGCACTGCATTTATATGAAATGCTTTGTTCGGATTGGCTGGAATTGGACACACCTTGCTTATCTATATCTTGGATTTCCAAGGTATGATGTTTTCATACCTTGGAATATCAGGCTGAAATTTCTGCCCAAAACCCTATAATTAAATATGTTTTAAAAGGAGTCTGACCAATGAGATCCTAAAGTAAAACAAACAAATCACCTGATTGTGCGCTGGATTTATTGTGCACCAATCAGATGATTTGTTTGTTTTTCGGATGGAAAAGTTGTCCACTGATACCAGTGTGATTGAAAATCAAACTGGAAAACGAGTATGGCCTAGCTATGTGTAAAATATATTTTATGTAATCCAGTAAAACCTGTGTATACAAATACCTCTATAATCTGAGTTGAACACCTCTCAATTTGAACACTCTTTCCTGGTGCCAATTTTGTGATCTCAAATTAACTTACATAATAAGAAAAACCTTGAAATGTGATCATGAACACCTACTAATTATTACTACTGCTCCTAATGGTGTTCAGACAAGACAGGTTTTGCTATACTGACCTGCTCTTGATGTGCTGTGATAGGTAACTTGGAGGGATATGTCTTGAACTTATAGTTAGCATAGATCTCATGTGTTCTCTCTGGGTCAGTATCTTCAGGCATCTTCACTGGTTCTGTAGCTCCTGAAATATAGCAGAACTACATCAAAGTGTTGGTTAAAGAAAGTTTTACTTAGGGCACGTAACACAGAATTAACATGCAAAATGTCACGAGCTACCATTTGTTACAGACCACGACTGCCAAACACCAACCGCCATTCACCATCCACAACAAATTTGGATACTAACTGGAGGTGATATAGTTAATATGCCTCTGTGTGTAACTAAATGTGGTGTGGAAGAGTCTGGGAAGGAGAACGTTATTTTCCTTCTCACATTTCAATTCCAATTGAACATTTCATTTACTTCAGATTGAAACTTGCTTTCTTTTAAAAAACACAAACAAAAAACACATACATTGATCTTGTGCCTAATGTCATGCAAATATAGATTTGTGTACCTGTCATTCCACTGGCCATACTGATAGTCTCTAGGTCATCCATAGTGGTATGGCTAGGTACACCCGCACTACGGCCCCCACGTAAACTTGCGTTCATGTGGTGCATCCTTGGTGCTGACACCTACGCAGTCATAAGAAATATTACATCAAAGTATGACATCAGCATATACAGGGTGGGCCAAAAAAACGCCACTTTTTTTCAAAATGCTATAACTTTTTTAATTTTTGATATTAAATCATAATTTGCATACCAAATGAAACTTGAGGTTGTTGTCTATCCATGGATCATAAATTATACACTTTTACTTGAATAAAATATGTCACCAGCATCTCACTTAAACATGTGGGGTGCCATGAGAAATAAGCATAATTTGCAAAATGTTCCTGAACTAATACGCCCTGATGACCGCCAAGCTAATAACCCTGAGGCAAACCCCAGTGAGTATAGGGTATGGGAAGGTCTCCAGGAGATTGTATGAAGGAACCCAATCTAGAAAATTGCTCAACTAAAGCTCTCAATTAAGACAGGTTGAAAAAACGTAGCTAACATTTCATTGATACTGCAATATCAGCAAGGTGACAAGCAAGTAAAATATATCATCAATTAGGGTGGCGGACCAATTGAACTCACCTTTTAGATCACTAGGGTGTCATTATCACTTATATGTATATATGTTTATATGATTTTAATAAATAAAAAAAAATATAATCCAAGTTGAAGGACTTGTTACATTATATTATTACTAAGAAACCTTGGCACTATATAATTGCAAAATTTGGGGTATGTAGGTTGGAAAATAAAAAAGTTGTAGTGTCTTGAAAAAAAGTGGCGTTTTTTGGCCCACCCTGTATATGTGTTATATAGTGCTTCCTACTAATACGATGTGTGGTATTTGTTTAGTTATTTAGATTGTAAACTTTTTGAAACAAAGCATTAACATGACAAAATGTGACCACCTAGTTGCTCACAATATTATAAATTGTAGATGATTTTGAAAAAATAGTCAATTTGAAGCAAGTTGAAAAAATACCTTTTTTGACCCTGAAAATATCATTGGAGGTCGAATCTCAAATAAAAGATTTGAACTTCTGAGAACTTGTAGATGATTTTGAAAAAATGGTCAATTTGTAGCAAGTTGAAAAAAGACCT